AAAAAAAATCAAATTTAATAAAATCGCTGCTATAGCAGCGATTTTGTTTTTTCGAATGGACAAAATCGCTACTTCGCGAGCGATTTTGCCCTTTTGGTTTAAAAGAAATTTCATATACCGTTTTAGAATTTTTGTTAACATTTTTTACCCTTTAGGCTTCGGACTCGCGCATATGTTATGACGGATATTAACGAGGAAATATCAATTTGGCCACTCGAAAAAGATGGAAAAGCATGGAATAACATCATGAAGTTACCTATTTTGTATGGGGATCCTCATGATCAATGGTACTTAGGTAATGTCTTTTGTGTTAAGGAGAATGGAAATATATTACAATATAGAAAAAATGATGGTCGATTTCTTGAGTATAATGTGAGAAAAAATGAATATATTGAATTTAAATTGAAAAAAGTTCCATTAGGGGTTAAAATAGGACCTTTATACGTTGAAAGTTTAGTTTCTTTGAAGATTCCGTGGGATTAATTAGAAATAATAAGTTTAGTTTTCTTATAGTTAAGATAGTGATTTCTAATTTTTCTAGTATTATTGCCTTTTGATTTTCATTAATCTATTATGTAATTGTTTTTTATATGTGAGATTTCTTGAATAATTTATGTGTGAAATATTTTTTACGGCACAAAAAACTGTTTTATTTAGCATATGAAAAAATTACGGATAAATGACTAAAATTTCACGTTTGAGCTCTCTTATTACCATAAACCCTATTAGTTTTACAAATTTTTAAAATCCCTCATTTTCACACATCAGATTAATGTATCTCGCGCATCAAATATTTAATGTATCTCGCGCATCATGCTAATGTATCTCGCGCATCAGATTAGTGTATCATGTATAAAATGTTGTGCATCTTACTTAATAATTAAAGTATCTCGCGCATCTGATTAATGTATCGCGTGCATTAGTTTAATATATCAACGATTGTATCATTTTAGATTTTTATAATTATAAACTTATAAAGGATAAATGAAAATTTTACCTTTAAAATATCTGATTATTATCCTTTGCCCACAAATTATTGTAAGACCAATACGAAGTAAATATTAAATAATTCTATTTTCGATAAGTCTCCTAAACTAACTTGGTAAAATAAATGTAGAGTCCTAATAGTTATACTATTATATTTTATACATAAAATAAAAATAATTGAGAACTCTTGTGAGTTCCAAAAATGCCTATTGATATTATCAATTCCATTCTCTTAGATCTTCCTGTCAAATCTCTTTTACGATTCAAAATTACATGCAAATCATGTTTGTTTCATCGATGATCATTACTTCATTAATTCCCATCTACGTAGATCATATAATCGTCAAAAGAATTTCTTTTTTACATTGCTAATGGAAATAGATTTTATAACTATTCAATTAAAGTCGTATATATTGAAGGATCAATTAGTAGTTATTTAAAAGTTGCAAAAAAAAGGATTGCTGTAATGTAAGAACAATTTATGGTTTTGCCTATGATGTTGTGGCTGAGGATTACAAGGTCTTATGTGTTGTTGATAAATGTGAAAAACAATAGAAGGGATACACGTTATATTGTTGAAATATATTTCGTTTGATTAATTAGAAATTTCAAATTTATTTTTTTCCCGGCCTTATTAAAGATTGCAAATTCTAGTATTATCGTTATTCGATTTATAGAATATAATGTGCGAAAAAATGAGTATACTAAATTTCAAACCTTTATATGTTGAGAGTTTAGTTTTTTTTTTGAAGATTCCCTGGGATTATTTTGAAATATCAAGTTGACTCTTCTTATGCCTTATAGTTAATTAGGTAACAATTTTTTAAATTTTATTCAGTCTATTATGTAATAGTTGTTTCTCATCTTATATTTGGGTGAATATATACAACTTTTGATTCAATTTCCAATTTTCTTTATTATAATTATTTTTATTTTATTAAAAATAAGTTATTTGGTTGTTACGAAACAATGAAAATCCATGTTTTATGGAACAACCCATTTGGTGTGTTCCCATTATTACTTAATGATAATTTTAATAAATTTATAAATTACAATAACAACAACAAACAATACATTTTAGCCAAACATTGTATCTACCATATAATACAGTACATGAGAACACAATACATTATAAAACAATGAATAACAATGATTCAAACAAACAAAGCGTTAAAACTCTTTTTACTTTTTGATAAATCAAGAAACAAAATCCAATCGTCAATATAATTATTAGATATAATAGTATAAGGCAATTAGGACTACACATTTATTATACCAAGTTAGTTTAGGATTTTGTTTCTTGATTTACCAAAAAGTAAAAGAGTTTTAACTACTTTGTTTATATATA